GCTGTGTAAGGTGTCCCACCATGGGCACTCGTCTCAAAAAAGCTGGCTCATGCACCAGGGATGGATCCTGAGCCCACTGTCAGGGGGCCCCTTAAACAGTTCAAGTTAAACAACTGTCTTGTCTATGTAGAGGGCCTAGTCCAGTTCCATGGGAGCTCCACAGCTATTGGTCCACAGTTCATGAGTTCCCACTAGTTTGGTTTGATTGTCTCTGTATGTTTCTCCATCATGATCTCGATGTCCCTTGCACATAGAAACCCTCTTCTCTCTCATGGACTGGACTCTTAGCATCCTGTTTCTCCCTATTCCAATGATGTCTCAATCTATCATAGTATCTCTTTCCTTGCTCTCCAACTCTGTCCCTGTTCCAGCTCGAACATCCTGTTCCCTTACATTTTCATCTCCCAATCCTATCCTCCATTGCTCCCCATCACCACCAGTTTGTTCACGGAGATCTCATCTATTTCTCCTTTCCAGCGCAATCCATGCATCCCTCTTAGGATCCTACTTGTGAGCTAGTTTCTCTGGAGCCAAGGGTTGTAGTCTGGTTATCCTTTGCTTTACATCTAGTATCCACTTATGAGTGGATACATATCATGTTTGTTCTTCTGAGTCTGGATTACTTCACTCAGGATGATATTGTCTAGTTCCATCCATTTGCATGCAAACCTCATGATGTCATTGTTTTTCTCTGCTGAGTAGTACTCCATTGTGTATATGTACCACATTTTATTTATCCATTCTTCTGTTGAAGGGCACCTAGATTGTCCCCAGGTTCTGGTTATTACAAATAGTGCTGCTATGAACGTAGTTGAGAATGTGTCTTTGTTGTATAGAGCATTCCTTGGGTATAAGTCCAAGAGTGGTATAGCAGGTTCTTAAGGGAGATTGATTGCCAATTTTCTGAGAAACCGCCATGCTGATTTCCAAAGTAGCTGTACAAATTTACATTCCCACCAACAGTGGAGGAGTGTTCCCCTTGTTCCACATCCTCTCTAACATAAGCTTTTATTAGTGTTTTTGATTATAGCCATTGTGAAAGGTATAGAAAGGTATCTCAGAGTCATTTTAATTTGCATTTCTCTGATGACCATTGTAAAGGGTGATGTTTCTCTGATTTCTTCCTCAGCCCATTTATCATTTGTATATAGGAGGACTACTGATTTTTTTGGTTAATCTTGTATCCTGCCAAATTACTAAAGGTCTTTATCAGCTGTAGGAGTTCTCTGGTAGAATTTTTGGGGTCACTTATGTATACTATCATAAATTGTCTGCAAATAGTGAAAGTTTGACTTCTTCCTTTCAAATTTGTATCCCCTTGATCTCCCTTTGTTGTCTTATTGCTCTAGCTAGAAATTCAAGTACTATACTGAATAAATACGGGGAGAGTGGATAGCCTCCTAGTCTACTTCCTGACTTTAGTGGAATCGCTTTGAGTTTCTCTCCATTTAATTTGATGTTAACTGTCAGTTTGTAATTTGCCTTTATTATGTTTGCGTATGTTTCTTGTATTCCTGATCTCTCCAAGACCTTTATCACTAAGGGGTGTTGGATTTTTTGGAAGGCTTTTTCAGCATCTAGTGCAATGATCATGTGTTTTTTTTTCTTTCAGTGTGTTTATATTGTGTATTACATTGACAGATTTTCATATGTTGAACCATCCTTGCATCCCTGGGATGAAGCTTACTTGGTCATGGTGAATAATTATTTTGATGTGTTCTTGGATTTGGTTTGTCAATATTTTATTGAGTATTTTTGCATTAATATTCATGAGGGAGACTTATCTGTAATCCTCTTTCTTTGTTGCATCTTTGTGTGGTTTGGGTATCAGGGTGTAGCCTCATAAAAAGAGTTTGGCAATGTTGCTTCTGTTTCTATTGTGTGGAACAATTTGTAGAATATTGGTATTAGCTCTTCTGTGAAAATCTGGTGGAATTCTGCACTGAAACCATCTTATCCTGGGATTATTTTAGTTGAGAGACTTTTGATGACTGTTTTTATTTCCTTAAGGGTTATTGTTCTATTTAAATAGTTTACCTGGTCTTGTTTTAACTTGGGTATGTGGCAGCTATCCAGAAAATTGCCCATTCCTTTTAGATTTTTCAATTTTGTGGAGTACAAGTTTTTGAAGTATGAACTGATGACACTCTGCATTTCCTCATTGTCTGCTATTGTCTCTCCCTTTTCATTTCTGATTTTCTTAATTTGGATGTTCTTTCTTTGCCTTTTGATTAGTTTAGATAAGGGCTTGTTTATCTTATTGATTTTCTCAAAGAACCACCTCTTTATTTCATTAGTTCTTTCTATTGTTCTTTTTGTTTCTATTTTATTTATTTCAGTCCTCAATTTGATTATTTCCTGGCATCTATTCCTCCTGGGTGACTTTGCTTCCTTTTGTTCTAGAGCTTTCAGGTGTGCTATTAATTTGCTAGTGTGAGATTTCTCCATCTTCTTTATGTGGGCATTTAGTGCTATGAATTTCCCTCTTAGCACTGCTTTCATAGTGTCCTATAAGTTTGGGTATGTTGTATATTCATTTTTCATTGAATTCTAGGAAGTCTTTAATTTCTTTCTTTATTTCCTCCTTGACCCATTGGTGATTCAGTTGGACATTATTCAGTTTCCATGAGATTGTAGGCTTTCTATAAAAACTCTCCTTCCTCGACTTGGTTCAAATGGTTTTTGTGTCTGAGATAGCCTCTCTTGGTCTAATGGATACTCTTGGTCCAGTTGGAGCTCTTGGTCCAATTGGAGATCTTGGTCCAATCAGTGCTGATGGACTGTGTATCTCAGGGAGCAGTTGAGGTCTCAGAGGGTGGGTGAATTTGAGGGATGTGGGGCTTGTAGATTACATGGTCTATTGGGAGATGATGGTAGTCTGGCCTGCCTGAAAAAGACCTGCCTGCTGTCCGGAAACTGGGACTGCAATGGGTAGTAGTGTGGGGTGCAGGGTTGTGCCCCTGGACCCAAAGACTAGAGGCTGGGGTATTCAGCTATGAAAACAAAGATTCACCTCTTAATCCAATTGGCTCTGGCAGACTCTGTCTCAGGGAGCAACTGCAGTTCCAGAGGGTAGGTGGGTTTGGTGGCAAAATGATTTCGACATATGCCTTTCAAGATTTCAAAGAATGATAAACACCACATTAGAAAATAACGTGGTTAAGTTTGTGAGCCTTCTTGGTACCTTTTCTGTGGGGACAAACAAGAGAAACAATATCTCCTTAGAGGGTATCTTTCTTTTCTCCATCTCTTTGTTCTTTTTTTTTTTTTTTTTTTTTTGGTTTTTCGAGACAGGGTTTCTCTGTGTAGCTTTGCGCCTTTCCTGGAACTCACTTGGTAGTCCAGGCTGGCCTCGAACTCACAGAGATCCGCCTGGCTCTGCCTCCCGAGTGCTGGGATTAAAGGCGTGCGCCACCACCGCCCGGCTCATCTCTTTGTTCTTAAGTTTAAATTTTTGATTGTATGGTTGAATGAAGAAATAAATCCTCTTCTACAGATGAGTAGCAGCAGATCTGGCTGATGCTACCCATCATGTTCTGGCTGCCTGTGTGTGTAACTGGCCTTCTCTGCTGTTTAGATTCATGACACTTGTCACAGTGTGCACATATTTCATGCAATTAAAAAGCAAGAAAGAATGGTACCTTGTGTTTGCCAAATTAAAAAAAAAAAAATCTCTGTAATAATTTTTAAATGTTTTCTGCTGTCCTCTTTATGTCTATCAGAAATTGCATGCTGTAAGAGAGCTATGCATTATATTTTTATTTTGACATTTTGTTCTGTTTGTACAGAGCTTTGTAAGTATACCAGCTAACCAGCCTGTATTCCTCAGACATCAAAGCCAGAGACTTCCTCTCCTATCTGATGGTCCCATCCTCATCATGGACTCAGTATACCAATGTATTTGAAAGCCTAGGAACATACTAGACAGGATTTAAGTCTGTGTTTGACTCCTTCTACATCTCAAGACTGGTTATAGACTGTGACACTGTATATGTGGAAAGAGTTAATAGATGCAAATTCATATTCGATGTGGCATACCATACCTTATTTTTGATGCAAGTATTACTTTCCCTAAGCAATGTGATTTCAGTGTGATATAAAAAGCAAACACAGACTTTCATTTGGAATGTCAGTGGATATAACAATGTGTAGTAAACTGTGAATTAACTGTGAAACTAAGCCAGCAATCTTCAATGAATACACTCCTAGTGTTGAAAAAAAGCATTTTTTTCTTTAAAGAAAACTAGTACTGTATCAGGGAAAGCCAAATTCACTCAACTCAGTTTGATTTTCAAGCTGAGTTTTAAAAATGTTAGGCAACCAAATTCTGCCTTACAAGGACATTTTTCTTTCTGAAATTGTTTTCAGATACTGAATTCCAAGAGCTGTTTGCAGCTCAGTTTATGAGACAAGTGCTCATTACCCAAATTGGTTAATTGCACCCATTATTATTCACCAAATAGAATTAGGTTCTCATATACAAACAAGAAAAACCACAGTGTGTGCTCTCCACTTTCTCCTTCCCTGGGAATGGCAACATTGTGATTTTCATAAGTGGGAATTAGAATAATCCTTTATTTCCCCCATTGCCATCAACACAAATCTTTTCTTTTTCAAAGGTCACAGCTAAAAGGAGCAATTTTGGCTCCATCTCTAGCAGTAAAGGATGCCACTTGAGTGGCTTTTGACAGAGTGGCTTGACTGGGCCAGAATGTATGCATGTCTTGGCCTGTAAAGGTATTTACACCTGCCCAACCATGAAGGCAAATGCTGAGCTGCTTTGCTATTACATTTAAAAAAACACTCAATTTTTTATTAACATAATTTTTAGTGATTCTTTCAGAATTCATATCATGCACCCCAATTCTATTGATTTCCCATCCTTCCACGTCTGCCCCCCACTCTTGTAACCTCCCCCCCATGAAAGAAAATAAAAGAAAAAGAAAAAAGAACATACAAATACCCCCCTCCCCCCCACACACACACACAAATTAAAACAAAGAAAAAGACCACTTTGCTCCTCCATCTTTCTCTCCTCTCCATCACATACTCATTTCTCATAGTGGTCTTGGGAGCTGCATTGTGTCACACAGTATATCCTTTTGCTCACATAGCTCTACTTGCAAATAGTCATTGCAATGAGTTGTTGGTCTGGCAAGGCCTCTGGCTTCTGGTACAACATCAATACTGGACCCTCACCAAAACTTTTCTTGGATATTCGTTGCCCCATTCATGAAGATCCTCTGACTATGGTTCCACAGGACGGGTCCCTTCACATGCTCCAGCAGGTCACAGATGGAGTAGATGGTGGGCTAACTCAGAAGTTTGGATGTGGGCCTGGGTGGTAGCTGAGTTGGTCAGTTCAACACTCTACCTGGACCACACCCTCAGGGGAGGGTCAGGGTCAATTCTCCCTCTGGCATGGTGAAGGGTTGGAGTCAGCTCAACTGTTGCTATGACTGGCAAGGGTCATCAAGGGTTGGGGACAGCTCTCCTGTGCCTATGACACTGGCCAGTTCTCCCATGGCCCCCATTGGTAACACAGGCCACAGACCCAGACATGGCCTTAGGCATCAGCAGAGGCCCAGATATCACATGGCTCTAGGTGGCAGCATATCAGCCTGCCCCGTATTGCTGTCAAGTCTTCAGGATCACTTCTTTCCACAGTACACAAACCACTCCACTTCTCCTTCTCTCCCATTTCTCCAGCACATACCTGTCATCATTATGGCTCCTTCTGGGTGGGCCTGTGACTTACTTCAGCCTGCCCAGGCTGTGGGGTATTGAAAAAATAAAATAACAAACAAGCAAACAAACTAACAAAAAACACTCAATTTTTGTTTTTTTGCATTGTTCTCTTTTCCCTACTTGATAATTACATCTGTAAATTATTCAATTGCTTAAATGAGCAAAAGCCAACATAAACACATACTTTATACCTTCTTGTTATTTGTATTTTATGACTAAATCATGATTATGTCATTTGATTGACCTTAGTTTTTACTGTGAGCAACTCATTTGTTTTAGAAAACAGAAATTGATACTTAGAGACAGAAAATGATCTGGTCAGTGTCAAATGGCTGAGACATACTCTACAGTTTGCTAAGACCTTCCCTGACCCCACCTGTCCTTAATTGCCTCATGTCTTTGTTTTGAAGCTGTGTGTCCTAAGAACTTTCTCTGCCCCTGCCTCTTAAAGAAGGCTTCTCTTCCTCCCCTTTATTATAGGAGGACATGAGTGGCCCTTGTTTGACATCCCTAGAAGCTGTTGTTATCTATCAATATATAATTATTTTTGGTACACTTGCCTTAACTCACACAATAATTAAACGGCGACTTTTTCCTTTGCAAGTATATTTTAAATCAGGTTCTTGTCCATATTTGTACCTCTATTTTAATACCTTGATATTAAGCCAAAGTTCCCAGAAAAAGCAAAACTAACAGCTTATTAAAGATTCTAAAAGTTCAGTTGACTGATAAGAGCACTGTTTACTTGCTTTGATGTGTGTTTGTGTGTATGTGTGTGTGTGTGTGTGTGTGTGTGTGTGTGTGTGTGTGTGTATATACATGTGAGTGTGTGTTGTAAGATAGAGCCTCACTATATAGTCTGAGTTGACCTCTAAGCCACAGAGCTCTACTTGCCTCTACCTCCCAAGTGTAGGATTAAAGTCATGTACTACAATGCCCAGCTTAATTAAAACTTTATGATTTTAAAGTTAGAATGCTGCAGATACACAGCTGAATTATCTTGAGACATCTTTGTTCTTATAATTGTGTCATTAATTGCCCACCTCTGTGTCTGACCAAAGATCTTGTGACAACAGGTAAAACCTTTAGGAGTATATTACCTTAGCAGGCCACTAGCTTATTCCAGCAGAAATCTAAGCATATTAAAAGATAAATTTGGAATCTATTGCATAAATTGTCCCAATTTGTTGTAATATGCCTTCATGATGTTCCTAATAATGCAATGTATTTGAAAATTGCCTCGTTGATTATTATTTGGTTCTGTAAATATGAAACTTTGTATAACCTATTCCTCATGGGACCAGGTTGTTTGTTGAAACTTGGAGCCTGTGTTCCCAGGCCCTTGTCACTCAAATGTATTCAAGAACAAATTAAACTATTTCTTATTCCCTTATATGAAGGGAGTCTTTTGAATGGACAGTAGATATTAGGTAGATGGAAGACAGATAGATGACAGATGAAAGACACAGATGTAGATATTATAAAGCAGAGCATTAATCTTCTCTAGAGCAAAAATGATAAAAAACAATGACAATTTAAGTACATCATTAGTTTTAGAACACATATACCATTTTCAAAGGCATTGAATTCTCTGTTCATAAAGGAAAGAAAGTGCCTTGGATTACATTACAGACAAGTGTCATCAAATAATCTCCAGCCTCTCTCACACACAGAGCTTTTTGACACACTATTCAGTCCAAGCTGGCTTCAAACTCATGGTAACCATGTGCCTTAGCTAGTGATGGGATTTCAGGCATAAGCCACCATTGCTATCTGCTTTTCTATTAAATAATATTTTAAATATTGACTTTACTATTATATAGTTCCCTTCACTATATTTCTCCCTCTGTTAGTGCCTTTCTTACTCTAAGAAACTTCTATCTGTAACTAGTTCTGAAGGTACAAACTCCTCTGTCTTATGTTAACAACATATCTACCCCTGGCATTTGGGCTGGATTTGCAAGCCTCCATTATTGATGTTTTCTGTGACATTGTGTTCATTCTCTGTGGCTATTGTAACACACTGCAAGAATTTTGGTAGCTTAAAACAAAACAGATTTTTTATTTCCTAGTTCTGAAGGTCAGAAGTGTAACATGGGACTCACCTGCAACAAATTGTGAGCCATGCTGAGTTTCTTTCTGGGACTCTGGGGTAATGTGACTGTCTTCTTATCTGTCTCAGCACTTAATGCCTGTCACCATTTATTAGTTTATGAGGCCCTTCCCTCTTCAGGACCAACAGAAGCAAGTTAAGACCCCCACCTTTGCTCTGACCTCTTTCTTCCAGTTTTGCTTACTTATTTTACTTAGGTTTGTATTCAATCATTTGTATGCACACATGTGCACTATCAGCCATGTGTGCACATACACGCACATACATAGAAAAAGGCCTCACCATTTTCATACTTTTATCTTTTTGATTAAACTTCAAATATATTGCATTTTACAATTATTGTTTCATGAATTTATTGAGTATTGCTGGTCCATGGACAATAAACATGGTTTGGCTTTTGAGATTTTTCCGTCTTAGAATTATGTCTGCAGGATTTTCCCTGAAAATCTGTAGGAACTGGGTGAATTTCATACCTAGATAAGCATAAATTCAATGTGTTCTCTAACACAGAAAGCAAGTCCAAAGGTCTCTCTCTCAGCCTTTTCTTGCCCAGGTGGATTCTGGTTCTTGTCTTCCTGTCTTCTCCTAAAAACAACACATGCAATAAATACAGCTGGAGAAAAGCCCCAGAGGTCAGAGGATTCCTGGGTGCACCTTTGTCTCAAGTCCTAGCACTTCACAGTTTAGTGCTTGAGCAGCTGTCTGCCCTTTAAACAGAAGGGCTTTGTGTTGTATCTGATTTTTATCATAGATTCTGGTCCTTATTCATCTTATCTAAGAGTGGATACTGGAGTTGGATTTTACCCAATTATAAATGGGCCTATATTAAACATGTATTATTATTTATTATTTCAAATTTTCATGTGTTAAAATATATTTTTATTACACCATAGACCTATTTGGCTAGTTTTTAATTTTCATAAATTTTACTTTTATAATGTTATTTCTAATAATATTACTTAATATCTTAGATTGAAAACTTAAATTTTCTCTCTTGAGTGAGGATGTAGGGGAGGGCAAGAATAGCCAATACTTTTTAGGGCACATACCAATGACCAACCAGTCCCTAACTTGAACAGTTTTTAAGAATATCCTTTGGTCCATCGGACTGAGTCATCAGTGGACTAACGTTTTAATGAAGTCAAAGCCCTCATAATCCAACCACCTATAAACACTGGACACTGATAACCTGAGGACTCGCAATTTATGCACCGCAAGACCCTCAGTGCCAATCAGTAAGATGATTGAGTTTTCTTTTAATTAATATCTGATATATAAACACGAGCCTAATAGCAGAATAAAATAATTGAAAAGTATTTGTTCCATGCAATCAAATGGCACTGAAGAAATGACAGCCCACCTCTCAACACTCCCACATTTCAGAGGCACATCTGTACTTCAAGCCCAAGCAGACTGTGAGGAGGCACTCACAACATCCACCGGGATGTTGTGAGACAAAGCTGAAGCCAAGATACTTATGGCCATTGAGAGACATAAAAGGCATGCTTGAGAAGTACAGCTAAAGGTCCCTCAGGAACCAGGATTGTCTTAGTCAGCGTCTATTGCTGTGAAAAGACACCAGGACCACGGTATAAAAAGAAAGAATTTAAGTGGGGTTTACTTACAGTTTAATCCATTGGAGGGAGCACAGTGGCATGCAGGCAGACATGGTAGCTCAGACTTCTATATATGGATCCAAAGGCACCAGGAAGAGAGAGACACTGGTCCTGACTTGGGCTTCTGAGATGCCTGAGTCCACTGCCATTGATATACTTCCTCCAACAGGAGAAAAAAAAATTCTCAAATTCTGCTTGGTGCATGATTACATTTGCATAAGATTCCTGAGATGACAAAATGTATACTAATTAGTGGCTGCCTGGGGTTAAGTAGTTAATAGCAATGGGCATAGCATGGAGGAGGCCTTCCAGGAAGGAGATTCTGAGGTTAGGAAACATATGCTTATATTTTGTTCTTAGCTGTATATGGTATTTTTTAAATAAACCAAGAATAGTGCATAGGATCTGTGTATTTATTCCAACTTCCTTTTCTAAAATTATCTCAAAAATGAAAGGCATCAAACATTAAAATGACTAAACAGTTATTAATAAATTTCAATAGAATATAAACAATGACTTCATGACAAACAAAAGACAGTTATTTCTCCTCTGGTGACCCACAGAAATGTAAAAAATCCTGAATCATAGGTCATTTTGAAAACTAAGGGAACTTCTATTCAGTCTTGTGGCTAGACCAAGCCTAGCATCTTTCCTTATCAGATTAAAGTTTATGTGATCCTCAAAACAATGGTGATTTAAAACCAGTGCATGGAACTGGAGAGTGTTCTGTTCCCCTCATGCATCAACCTAACATCATGGTATGTCCAGAAGAGTATATCCCCAAAGGGGTTGATGAGAAAGAGAAAAAAGGAGAAAAACAGAGGAGGAATATGAGCATAAGGAGAAGGAGGGGGGGTATGGAAGAGGAAGAGCATGGGGCAGAAGAGCAACATGAGGAGAAGAAGAAGATAGAAGAGGTAGAACATAAAGAAAAGGGGGAGGAATTGGAGGAGGGGACAGTAGAATGAGGAGGAGAACTAAGAGGAACATAGAGAAGAGAAGAAGGAGAAAAAGGAGGCCCAGCAAACAGTGACAGGCTTTTCAGGTCAAGTAACAAAATTGATTTGCACCAAGAAACTACACCCACACAGAATGTGGGGTCAAGGAGAGAATCAGTGGGCAATATTAGCTGGAACACTGTATCATAAAACCCAATAATTCAAACCAGGCTGGCACCTTATCTGTCTTCCAAGGTTAGTGGAATCCAGGCTATAAAAATCCAGTGCCAAACATCAGCTTATTTCTGAAGTCTCATTAATCACAGAGAAAGTCTTTTAACATCTCCTTCACTTTCCAGAAAGTTTTCTCAGACCCTCTACCACAGTGTCACTGAGTAACACATCACTGTGACATGTGCTCCTGAGCATTTTTCCTTACAGATCTCACAGACTGTTTGGTTTTGTTAGGTTATCTGGAGCCTAATTATCCTTCCTGAGCCTTTAAAGGGCTGCAGTTACAGCATGTACTACTATTGGGTATATGACGTGTAAATACACTATGCATATAATTGAATTGCCCTTTTAACTGACTCATACTCCCTCTGGTCAGCTCCAACTACTTAAGATCATTCTAACTCTTCTCATGTTGTAACAGGTACACATTTCTTTTAAATATGAAAAGGAGGCTTTCTTTGAGTAAGAAATCATTCTTCAACATTGAATGATTAAAAATATGAAAAAAAAATGTTAGAAATCTACCAGGTAGACAGAATTTGAAATCAGAAGGAGCTATTCTAAATGAGAGGTTTGCCAGCACATTTCACATTTAGGAGACAAATTTTCCCGAGGCCAGCAAGAGGGAAAAACATCTGTTAATTTTTTTCCAAGAGATACTGGGTTTCAGGCATTTTATCCTTTTCAAAGTAGCTTTAACTATAAAAGTATTCACTAACAAAACACAATTTTTATATTTTGAAAATTGTTAGTCATTTTAGATATAACTAGGTTATATATTGAATAATAAATTTTTATTTATCTATTTATTTTTAATTTTACAATTAATTTAATTCTACATATCAGCCTCATATTCATCTGTCTTCCCTCCTCCAACCCCCAACCCTCACCCTCCCCTCAATCCACCCCCCACTCCCACCTCTTCCAAGGCAAGGACTCCCCTGGGGATTTAGCTCAGCCTGGTAGATTCAGTTGAAGCAGGTCCAGTCCACTCCTCCCTTCACCTAGACTGAGCAAAGTGTCCCAGCATAGGCCCTAGGCTCCAAAAAGCCAGCTCATGCACTAAGGACAGGTCCCGGTCCCACTGCCTGGGGGTCTCCCAAATAGTTCAAGCCAATCGACTGTCTCACTTATCCAGAGGGCCCCGATCCAGTTCCACAGGGGCTCCTCAGCCATTGGTTCATAGTTCATGTGCCTCCACCAGTCTGGCCACTTGTCCCTGTGCCCTTTCCAATCATGGTCTCAATATCTCTTGCTCACAGAATCCCTCCTCTCCCTCGCTGACTGGACTCCTGTAACTCCACCTGGGGCCCGGCCCTGGATCTCTGCATCTGCCTCCATCAGTCACTGGATGAGAGTTCCATCATGACAGCCAGGTCAGTTTGGGCTCTCTCTCGACCATTGCCAGTAGTCCATTGTGGAGGCATCTTGTGGATTTCGGGGGACCTCTCTAGCACTCTGCCTCCTCCTATTCCCATGGGGTCATCATTTATCATGGTATCTCTTTCCTTGTTCTCCCTCTCTGTTCTTGATCCAGCTGGGATCTCCCGCTCTCCTAAGCTCTCTTTCCCCCCCCGACCCTTGCCCTTCATTACCCCCCACCCCTTCACATCCAGTTTGCTCATGTAAATCTCATCCACTTCTCTGTCGTTGGGTGATCCCTGTGTCCTTCTTAGGTTCCTCTTTACTAGGTAGTCTCCCTAAAGTTATGAGTAGCAGTCTAGTTATCCTTTGCTTTACATCTAGTATCCACCTATGAATGAGTACATACCATGTTTGTCTTTCTGAGTCTGGGTTACCTCATTCAGTATGATTTTTTCTAGATCTATCCATTTGCCTGCAAACCTCATGATGTTATGTTTTTTCTCTGCTGAGTAGTACTCCATTGTGTATATGTACAAACAAACAAAAAGAAAAAACCAAATTATGCAAATAAAAAAATAACATACCCACATATAAACATCCAGTTCAATTTCTATGGGCCTACTATTCCTGAGCATGGGACCTGACCTGGAGTGTGGTTGATGTACCCAGTATCATTCATTGGAGAAAAGGGATGTTTCTCTCTCCCAGTAGCTATCTATTGCAAATAGTTTCTTGGTTAGCAGTGAGGCTTTGTATCAACTTCCTTTTCTCCATGCTAGGAGTTTGTCTGGCATGAATGTGCGCAAGTCTTGTGCTTCATGCCTGTTCTGTCTGGAAAACACTGTTTCTTTGGAGTTATCAACCACCTGTGGATCTTACAATCCTTTTCCCTTTTCTTCAACACAGATACCTGAGCCTTGTAGGGAGGGGACCTGCCACTGTTAATGAAGCCAGTGACTCAATAGGTCATGATTCCTAAGGGGAAATCTAGACTACTGTTCTTCTAAAGCAATCAAATGACTCCGGATGACTTATTGCTGTACCCATAGATCACTGCCCCACTCAGCCCTCATCAGAGAAGCTTCTTCTTGTAGTAAATGGGAATTAACACAGAGATTCACAACTGTACAGTGTTTTCAACATTTAATTTTTGTGAAATGTGTACATACATGTGGTCAAATGATAAGTTGGGGGCAGGAGTATTTTTTCTTCATCCATCATTTGGGTTCTAGGAACGGAACTCAGGCCGTCAGGCTTGGCAACAAGCCCCTTTACCTACTATGTCGGCTAACCAACCACCCATACATTAACTCTTATCACCATATGTTAAATAGATTTTCCTCAGTTAGGTTACCATAGCCCATCACACACAGATACTTATTAAAGGACAGAAAAAAAGAAGAAAAAAAAACCAGTAAATGACACAGTGCTGAATTTTGTGGCTTCTGTCTATAATCCTGGCACCCAGGAGACTGAGGCAGAATATCAGGCATTCAAGGTCATCCTTGGCTGCATAGTGAGTTTGAGGTTAGGCTGGGCTATAGAGGACCCTTTTTGAAAACAACCATTAAGAAACAGCAGCAGCTCTGTGCTCATATGTTAAATGAGTGAGTTCTCCCTGTTCCCTAGACCCCCTCTGGCCCACAAACAACAGTGATAAGCAGAATTATGAACCAGTTCCCATTAGGAGACTCTAAGGATTGTAAGAGAGCATGTAACTTGTTCGCAGTCACACCAGGGAAGCTATGAAGCCATGATCTAAACTGAGGTCCGAGTACAAAATCTATTTTATGTGAGCCATATCTCTGTGTTTTTGGTCCCTAAGTGCAGGAAAATCCACCTTTACTGTGTTCATATTTGCCACAAGCAGTTTTACATGGAGTTAATAGTGGCTCAAATGTTCCAGTATTTCTCTTTAATGTCAGCATTTTGCGAAAATTATCTAATTTTCTTTTAGAAAAATACAATGAGATCAGCAAAAGCAAAGAGATCTATCACTTTATATCAAGTATTGATCTTACATAAAGAACTTAATTTCCTGATCAAATTTAAACCACTGTACAGTTTCAGTAACTGAATGTTGTATGGCATTTTGTTTGTGTTCTGATAAATAAAGCTTGCCCGGAGATTAGAGGGCAGAGCTAGCCACTAGTTAACCATGGAATCCAGCCAGGGGTGGCACACACCTTTGGTCCCAGCACTTGGGAGGCTCACATCTTTAATCCCATCACAATTGGGAAGTGGAGACAGGAATATAAGGCAGATAGAGACAGAATTGCCTCCCTTTTGGTCTGAGAATTCATAGAGATAAAAACTCTCTAGTGACTGGATGCTCTGTTTCTATGACCTTTCAGCTTTCACCTTTGATATCTGACTGGATTTTTTTATTATTAGGACTAATTAGGATCATGCTTCAAGTGAATCTATATTTCCCTCCCTCACACAATCTTATAATTTTCATTCTTTCATATTAACCTTTCAAAGATGTGTTCTTCACACAGTTCATGTGTTGTATCTCTACAAGACATGGTAACCAAGCCTGTCTCAGAGACTGAAATGATAACATCATATTTTTTTCTGTTTGTTTCAGGGAAAGATTTCAATAAAACCATATGTATATGCTCTACTTAACTGAACACACGTTAGATGCTCATCTGCCTATCATTGATCTTGCTATCTCAGAACAGG